CACCACCACCACCACCACCGCCACCACCACCATCATCATCATCATCATCATCATCATCATCACCACCACCACCACCACCATTACCACCACCACCACCTTCACCACCACCGCCGCCACCTCCTCATCCACAGTTACTTAATACTCTACCCCAATCATCCCCAATGATAGCTTCACCGATGCAACCAATTAGTTCTATTGTTATCGCTGGTCATGGTTCGAGAACATCAAGTGGTAAAAAGGCCAAGGATATGGACCTCACTCAGTGCAATGTCTGCGACTTGCCTGGCAGCTCGCTGAATCTTGTCATGTAATTAAAAATCGGTCATATTATTTTATATGCACCATATATATATATATTTTTCTTCAAATTCTTATTATCTTTCACAAACTGTCATTGTCATTTTAATTTGTATCATGCAGAGATTTCCGAAAAGTATGAGCCTGCAGAGAATGAAAAATATTTTTCTAGATAATCATAAACAGTTGTAGAAAAGTTATAAAAGGCTTTCATTTCAAATCAATAATCTTCAAGATTTAGAATATACGAAGCAATGACTGATTGAGATAATTTGATGTTGGAGAGTTATTTCTAGTTTAAAAGAATGTGTGAATTTATTCCTAAATTCACTTGTTTATAATACGCATTCCTATTCCTTTACAATCATGAAGACAGATTAAAAAGTTTAAAAATGAAATTGCTTTCTGCAGGTGCGATGAATGCAAAAAGTGTTATCATTTCACCTGCCTCGATCCGCCAGTTAAAAAATCACCGAAGCGACGAGGATACTCTTGGCACTGCGCGGATTGTGATCCTAGTGTAAGTGGTGATACATTTTAACAGGGAAAACCTAAATAATCAATACACAAAAATAAGTGAGAAAACAGGGGACCATCATGGATTCCTTTCCAATAATTGTACAAACAAATCAGAAATTAGTTTGTAATAATAATGAGTTGATACCAGTAACAACATTGTCTCCTGCACTTTAATCATCGAACTTGTTAAATTTTGTTTTTATAATTACGATTACTAGTTTCATTTATCAGGTTAATTTCTTATCCATTTCATTTCCTTTATTTTGTCCACTGCACATCATTTTTTTCTGTTTGTGCAAATATTCCAGTCTTTTTTTCCCTGATGTAAATTAATCTCTTCTGGATGTTTTCCATTTTCTTATTCCCATTTTTTTTTTATATTTTTCACTGATTTCAATATTTGTTTCTTTTCAGGCCTCTGAAACTGAGAATTAATTTCCATCACTTTTAACTCCCAGCGACGAAGATACGGATGGTGAAGGAATTACATTTTTTAAATATCAACTATATTATTATTGAAAATGAATACACTAATAATAATAATCATCGTAATATAGGTACTTGAAGTAGATATATAAAAACATCCCATGTCCATAAACTTGGTTTTGTATTTAATCCGGAATTTCCAATTTTTTGTGAACAAAATAACGATATATGTATCAAAACACTCTGTACTATCATTCCTTGGATTTTCTTTTTCGGTTGGTTCATTAATCTGGTTGTAGAAAAAAAAACAACAACTAGTTTTTTGCAAATATTTCGGGAACTACACGTCATAGAAGAAAAAAATCAACAACCGTAGGAGAAGTAATCGCAGAGGGTACCAATGTTTCAGCGCAGCTCAGAAGAAGGTCACTGAGTGATGATGCAACTCCTGTTATCCATGGCTAATGAGAGAATTAACTTTCAAAGAACGGTCATTCAGAGAACGGCGCAAGGGTTACCGTAGAGATACACGTACGGGGCGGGCTGTCTGTTGTTTGAAACAGTTTATAAACCGGTGAATCGTCATAATCAATTCCTCAAAAGATTTTTAAAGTGCGAAAAAGGGTCCGGCGATTGATAATGAGGGTAAGTTAGCACTCGGGACGTAATTTTTAATTTTTTCATTTTTTGACGAAATGGCACTTGAAAAATTTCAAAAAAAAATTCACCATTCACGAAATTAATACTCTCCACTGACAAATTCGAACCCAAAAAATATCCACCAGGACCACACTGATCTCTTGCTAAAAACCCTGAAATTCCCACAACACGACACCGACCCACACTCACGATCTTTTTCCCCGGATATCAACATAGTCCACTAAT